ATACATGAGTTGTCTGTTCTTCTTCTTATTTGATCTTATATATCATTTTTCTAAAATAAAATATAACCATCAAAATCAATCATAATTAAATCAAATTCAATTCATCTTAAATAAGGTGAGGATTTAAACTTCATAAATAAAATTATAACACAAGAAAAAGTATCTTCCATTAACTCTAATAATTTGGAGAAAGAAACTCTAATAATACTTAAATCAAATCAAATAGGATATCAAATAGTAATTGTACAAAAAGGAATAATTAGTGCATACTCCTATATAAACAATTTAATCACTAAAAAGTCTCATAATAAATAAACAGCATGCAATACCAAAATCCAGTACAAAAAATGACAACAAGTAGCTATGATTTATTAACAAATCAAAAAAATTTAATAATTATTTTATTCATATGAGACAATATAGGAATTCTCCTTTTAAAAAAGAAAGGTAAAGTAGCATCCATTTTGATCTTTTTTTTTTTATAGAAAAAGTATCATAATTTTATTTATTATGCATGTCAAATGTTCTAATCTTATTTTTTGTACCTGCAGCATCTCAAAGATTAGAGTATTAGATATAACTAAAAATAATAATATTGAGATACAAAATAAATTAAAATTAAAATTAAAATAATAAATATATTATAAATAAAATTAGGGTGGTGAGTATATGGTCCAACTGAAAAAATCCTGACCACTGCGTCTATGAGGACAGCTCCGGAATCATAAAAGATAAAACGTAGGGAGTGATGCTGAATGTGAGGGGAACATGCACGGAAAAAAGGACAAGTGTCACATTTACCTGCATTAGCATTCCACGTTCTATGGGCCCCACTAACTTTGATTTTTAAGGTTTGACTTTGACCCACCCTGCCTGCGTTGCACGTTTGGGGCAATCCATCACATTCACAACATCATATTAAAGTATTATTAATATAAAAATTAAAACACTAATTTATAAATATTAAAAATGTGACTCATAGTTATTTATAACTAAATATGTATTATTTTTTTGAAAATATTTTTATTAACAATGTGCATCAGAATAAAAATCATTTAATATGTGTAATTATTATGAAGATTATTTTAAGAAAAATAAATATAACAAATTAAATCTTTAACTAGTTTTATATTTAAAATCTAAAAAGCTAGTGTAAATTAATAACTCGTGGTTTTTTCAAGTTTATTATTAGGGCTAACAAAATGAGTTAAACTTGAAATATAATTTGGTTTGAGTTAAGAACTCATTTGAAAATATATTTGAGTGTCATCAAATGAACTGGCTCATTTCACTTGTGATCAAATAAGCCAACTCCTAAATTATATGGCTTGACTGGTTTAACTAATTCTATTAGTAAAACCAGAAAACTAATTTAAAACACTCAAAGTTCAGACTAATAGTATTAAAAATCATTGTAATTTAAATATAAAAAACCCTAATATTTGATAAGTGTTTATAGAGGTATTTAAGCAAATTGCTCATTGATAAAGTCCTCACATCAGTAATAGGATTCAAACTTATGACTTTGTAGGTTATGAACTGATTTCTTACTGGCTGGACAAGCTCTTATTGGTATCATTAAATTATAGTTTTTCTACCAATATATGAAGCAGGACAATTTGTTTTTTTAAAAAAATTTGACCTTTTATTATACCAATTGTTAAAACAGCCATTGTAGATACTCATCTTGTCCTATTTATAAGTTACTTCTAACTTGTTTTACACAGATAAAAAAAACTTTAAATTTCAGTAACTCTTGTTTAAAATTTAACAACTTTCTAATTTTATTCTCATTTAACATACATTATATCTCATGTAAACAAAGTCAACAAACTAATAAATAGAAAGTAAAATTATACATTCATACAAAAAAAATTTTTCTCAGTGTCCTATAAATAAGACCAAAAAATATTTTCTTTCTGCCTTATAAATAGGACCAGAGGAATATTATTTTAGAAAAAACTTAGAATAAGTTTTTTATATCTATTATATTAAGTTCTCCGATTACACATAGATATGCATCCCTTTTTTTTCATATAGATTTATAATTAAATGCTACTAAATGTTAATATTTTAAAAATATAAAACATAATCATATGTGATTAGAGAATTTAATGTAATAAATATAAGTAACTTGAACTAAATGTTTTGTTCTAATTATATGTGTGGGGAAATCGGGCATGCATGGTGCACTCTAGAAACATGCAACACTTCCATGTTTTTAATTATTACACACAAGGAACCCAAACGAGCCAATTAATTAATGTTTTAATTAAATAATTTTTGAATTAAATTTATTGTCTTAATTAGTTTTGATTCTATTTTTCATACATTAATTACTTCTGATATTCTGATTTTGGAAGTATTTATATATCTTGCTTCATATCAACTCCTGCTCTCGGTCTAATGCCTCTCTGCAGCATTCTGTGCGCCTAAAGGACAAACAAGAGCCCTTCTTTGGATTTTTTTTTCCTTTCTTACTTTTAACTTTTTATTATTTTTGGTGGCTTTTCGTTGAGTTCACAGTATGCACCGTTGGTAGTGACTAATTTTCTTACACGGTAAACTTTTTAAAGAGACTTTTGGGCTGACTATAAAACCCTCTCCATGAGTCCATGGTAATTTATTTTTTGTTGATGCATCAATGCACATTAATAAAAAAAATGTGATAAACTCAAATATTAAGAGTATTGAGTTAAGGATTTCAAAGCTTCTGAATACAATAAAAAATGCAATAAAAACAATTTGAGTTGTTAGGAAGATATGATTTGCTTTTACACAATGTCCTTTTATTAAAAAAAATAGAAGGGCTAAATTGCAGGTTAAAAAAAATATTATTGGACATGCAAGACACAATGATGAATGTTTATACACATTTCTGAAATTCAAAAACATTTAATTTAGGGCACCTTCTTAGAAAATATATGATTTTTAGATTATTCAAATATTTTAAGAGAAATGATTTATTGTTCAGAACATTTATGAAATGTATAAATTAATTTACATTTGCTTACCATCTTAAACAGATAATTCATTGTTTAATGACTTTCATTATTATTTAAGAGCATTTAATTTTAAACAAAATCCAAAGTAACTTTACAAATAATTAGAAAGTTGACTTTTCATCCTGATTATTTTTAAAAGCATAAAAAATAATATAATTTGTTAGAAGTTCTTGTTTAATTAAATTATTGTTTCTTAAATGCAGATTTTTTAGTTGCTTGCATGTTTTGAGACTTTTTAAATAAATTATTCCTAATTTGTTATGCCATAAAGGTTTTACATATAAAGAGAACTAAATGGATTTAATGATTACTATTTATTTAGTAGTATTATTAGCTCCACCAACTCATCAACTTATTCTCATTATCATTCATACTCTTTCTAACATGTAATTATGGATTTTAAACATATATAACTTCATCCATGGAATTAATTAATTAGAGTAGATAAGAAAAATCACACAAAGTACATATAATCTATCTATGATGATTAAATTGAAATGAAAATATTATATTATGCGATGTGCATGTGTATGCAAGTTTTCAGGTTACCAAAAAAAAAAGTATGTGTAAGTGTGTATGTTTGTATGATGTCAAAATATGTATATGTACGTATGAAAAGAATTAAATTAATAGTCAGCCACTTTTATTATTATTTTTATATAATTATCATATATCATGTATTATTGATTTAGATATGAGTATAGTATTAAAACTTAACCAAGACTTGCTGGTCAAGCCAATGAATTAGTGAACCGGTCTTTCAATTGATTTAGTCAAAATTTTTGAACGAATCAATATTGTTAAATTAAGTTTTCTCCCCTTCTAGGTATGAAACGACGTCGTTTAAAGAAAATCATAGTCTGTCAAATTTATGATTTAATACTTTTGTTTTGCTGAATTATATGTAATTTATGCATGAATGTTCTATTTATTTATGAATTAATGTTTTTTAATTATATATTATTCTTTGCAGAATTATATACAAATATTTTTTTTGGTCTATTTTATTTATATTATATTGTTTTAATCATGATCCAATTGATCAAGTTTCAACCAACCGTTAAACCATTAACCCTTAAATCATGACCTAATTTTTAGTAACTTGGACTAGCGCTATAAGGAGAAGAAAAAAAAAAGTTCATATTCACTCTTCAACTTCTTTACCGAAAAAAATCACTCTTCAATTTAACATAAGGAAATTTTTTTTTAAATGTTTGGTTTTGTCCAGAATATACAAAGGAACAAAGCAGTGCTTGGAAGATTTTCAAAATAATTTTTTTTGCCAACTCAAGGGAATATAAATTTTAGAGGATTGGATAAGTATTAGAGAAAATTGTTGTTGTTGTTTTTTTTTGTCATAAATAATAATAATGGTAATAATATTATTATTATAAATATTATTAAACTGAGGCTAAAATTAGGTCAAAGTGTGACGCCAATTGTGGCATAGACAGCCTCATCACTGTCACCTTCTCATTCTTCCATCTGTGTGGTCTGTTATTACTCTTAGGAGCCAAAATCGGGAACCAATACAGCAATGAATTGAATCCCTTTGGTCCAAACCCAACTGAACAATTAAAACAAACAAAAAGCTGAATTTTTTTTAAAAAAGAAACGACATGAATAAAAGAAAGAGAAAAATAATGATAATAAGAATAAAGAAAAAGAAGTGAAAAAAATAATATTTGCACAAAAACAAAGAAGAAAAGGTAGTCCTTGGTTCAAACGAACCTTTTGCTTTCCCCGTCAATCAAACAGCACCATTTTCTTTTCTTTCAAAATCTGTGCAGAAACGGAAGAAGCCATATGCATATGCACAAACCCAATAAGGAAGGAGCAGACATCAGAGGCATTTAATTCTTAATCTATCGTTTTAGATTTTGATTCATTGCATTGTGTTCTGTTTCTTCCCTCTTCTGGGTTTGCTTTTTCATATGGTCTTCGAAACTCTGCTTTTTGATGATTGTTGTTCATCATCGATAGAGAGATTGGTATTCTCATCTGGGTCTCCATAAATAAAGGCAAGCAGGCATGAGAATGTGAGGGGAGAATCGAAGAAAGTTGAGTTTTCTGAAAGAATGAGCAAAGAGCTAAATGGCATTTTGAAGTCTTGGGAAGCAACGGTTCGCCAATCGGTTGGTCACAGGAAGGCAAGCGGCCTCTTCACGCCAATGTCTGTAGCCCATGTCGACGATGACGAGGAGGAGCTCGAACCAGGGCAGGTTCACCATGTCGAGAAAATTCTCTGCAATGGCGATTTCTACACGGGCCAATGGCTCGATAATTTCCCTCATGGCAATGGAAAGTACACGTGGACAGATGGGTGTGTGTACATTGGTGAATGGCGAAAAGGTAAGAAAATGGGAAAAGGAAGGTTTACCTGGCCAAGCAGTGCTACCTATGAAGGTGAATTCAAGAATGGGTTCATGGATGGTAATGGTAGCTACACAGGCTTCTCTGGGGATACCTACAATGGTTCATGGATGAAGAATATGAAACATGGTCAAGGAACTGAGACTTATCCTTCTGGGGATTACTATGAAGGTGAATGGGCCAGAGGATTACGAGATGGGCAAGGGAAGTATCACTGGGTTAATGGGGACCATTATTCTGGGGAATGGAAGAATGGTGTGTTTCATGGGAATGGTGAAATGGTTTGGAGCAATGGAAATAGTTTTGAGGGGTGTTGGGAAGATGGGTTACCCAAAGGAAATGGCACATTCAAGTGGGATAATGGGGATATGCATGTTGGTTTTTGGAGTAGTGATCCCAGTGAAAGGGATGTGACTTATGATCCATCTGGGGGTTCTGATGAGAATCAGGAATGGGATCCTCAGGAGATGTATTCAGTGCACTTGAAGAGTTGCAGAATGAGTCCTTGTGAGAAGCTTTTGATTTATCCTTCACAGAAGGTGATAAATATCTTTGGGGGTGAAGGAGAGGCCATGCAGAAGCAATCCGTCCATGGAAGGCTAAGTAATAACAGTATAGAAGACATGGGAAGTCCTCTTCTCGGGGGTTCTATTCCAAGGGTACACAAACCTCTACCTTTGAGATTGAAGGCTCCAAAGAGACAAGGGGTGACAATCTCCAAAGGCCATAAGAACTACGAGCTCATGCTTAATTTGCAGCTTGGTATTAGGTACTGATCATAGTTGTTCTCCTGTCTATCACTCTCATTTTTGTGCTTTAAGTTCAGTTTTTCCTTCTAATTTTTTTTTTTTCCCGTATGAAGTGATAGCTTGAATTGCATAATCTAGAATGAGTTTTCACTTGTTTAAATGCATGAGAAGGCTTGGTTCAATTGGCATCCTGGAATATGAAAATTTCTTGTGATAATTCTATTTCCAAAGCTCCCTGATTAATTTATTGTGCCATAGCACAGACATTCTGTTGGAAGACCTGCTCCAAGTGCATCCCTTGATCTGAAGTCTTCTGCATTTGATCCAAAGGAAAAGGTATGGACAAGGTTTCCACCAGAAGGATCAAAGCACACACCACCTCACCCATCCTGTGAGTTCAAATGGAAAGACTACTGTCCAGTGGTATTCAGGTGAGGCGTGAGGCATCAGACTCCAAAGCAATGTCTCAAGAATGAATGGTTTCTTTTATGCCATGCACTGTCATAATTAGGAGAACTGAGTTATATTAAGTGCTAAAACACTCTTTTTTTTTTTTTGGCTAAAACACATAATTTGATTGAAGTAAAGTTGTTCCCTTCCCTTTTTTTTTTTTTTTCCTTTCTAATGTTTACTATGTGTTTACAATTGTTAATTTTTATCCTTTTCCATCACTTTTTTTATGGTAGAGGTATGAATGTCATTTATTAGCTTTAAAATTACTATTTTCATTCTTTTTTCCATTTCATTTTAATCTATTATCAAATGTTTAACAAGTTAAAGCGTTCATTTTGACACTCAGTGAAGTTGGTCAAATGTTACTAGGCATTTCTTCGCTCCCCTACCACAATGGCAAATATTTTGCTGAGGTCTCTGTAGAAAGAATAGTTGTTTGATCAACTTGTGTGATAAATAAATTCTTTCTAACTATATTGGAATTTCATTTCTTTGCCAATCACCCTATACAGGACCTGATGGATCATTGTATTGATATTATTAGGGCTCTTAGAAAATTGTTCAAAGTAGATCCAGCTGACTACATGATATCAATATGTGGGAATGATGCCCTTCGGGAACTCTCATCTCCAGGAAAAAGTGGAAGCTTCTTCTATTTGACAAATGATGACCGGTATATGATTAAGACCATGAAGAAGTCAGAAGTAAAAGTAAGTTTCCTCATAGTTGACTAGATCTGATCTATACCGCAAAATTTTTCCCCTTAACCATACAGTATAATGCCTTGTTTTGAAAGATCAGGAAACTACATTTTAACTCATTGAAATATCGTCCAATGCTGAAATAATCGTGTGGCGCCTTAGTTAATTCTTAAATGGGTTCTTTACTGGGGTTTAATAGCTTTGCGTAATCCAAAGCTCAGAAGGATAATTTGTGACATTAAGTTACATGTATTGTTTTTCTAATTAGGCTTCATTTTAGGGGGCAAAATGTAGCCTGTCCTTTGAAGATTTAGGTTTTTTTATTAGAAATCTCAGGTTACTCACCTGTCAAGTTGCAGAATGAATTTAATCACCTTCAGCTCAATGCATTTTGATGTGATATTTTCAAATTTGAATTGTTGCTTATAGCGTAAGTTATATATCTAATCACTGAATGATGTTATTCATTCTGAATATAACATGATTGCAGGTTTTCTTGAAGATGCTTCCGGCATACTACAAGCATGTTCGGACTTTTGAGAATACCCTAGTCACCAGATTCTATGGGCTTCATTGTGTTAGACTAACCGGAGCTGCACAGAAGAAAGTAATTCTGAAAGTTGTAGAGAACTCTACTTGGATTAGAGATCATTTCTGTCTCCTAATATTTTCTTTCTTTCTTTCTTTTTTGGTTGATTTCAGGTTCGATTTGTTATCATGTGGAATCTATTTTGTACTGGATATTCCATTCATAGGCGCTTCGACTTGAAAGGTTCAACCTTTGGCCGCTCAACCAATAAACCTGAGTCAGAAATAGAACCAACGACAACTCTTAAGGACCTTGATCTAAATTTTATATTCCGGTTGCAGAAGTCTTGGTACCAAGAATTTTGCAGGTAGACTTCTTATTCTTGCCTCTTTTTCATTATTTGCGTGTTCCAATCATCCAGTGTAAGACATTAGTCTATGCTATTGTTTTTTATACAAAAACACTGCATTAGCTGCTCCTGCGTTGCACCTAAATCTGTTTGGAGCTCAATGGCCATAATTAATCTTGAAATAAATGATCGCTGATATAAAAATGTCAAAGTTTCTTGTTAAAATATAAAAAAGTTACATCAATGATCTAACATATTGAAAGAACTCCCATATCACTTGGGGATAAAACGGAAACGGAATAAACAAACTATTTTCTAAATAAAAAATGACTCTCATGCCCATGATTTAAAAAAAAAAAAAATGTAATGAAAGGAATTAATATTATTGAGTAGTGGTTATGAGGACCTGATAGATATCGCGAAAAACATGACCTCCTTCATTACATTTCTTTCACAATACCAAACAAGGTCTGAAACGGTTGCATTGTTGTATAAACTGCAATTTTCTGCGTTGCTGTATTATTTACATTTCATGCACTTAGAACAGCAATATGGATTATTTGGAAATTAATTAATTGGTTTGATCGTATATCATGCTTTCATGCAGGCAAGTAGATAGGGATTGTGATTTTCTTGAACATGAAAAGATTATGGACTACAGCATGTTGGTTGGGCTTCATTTTCGAGAATTGCCTTGTAGTAACTCGTTTTCAAGCATTCGAACTTCAGGATCTCACGCCCCTTCTGGTTATATTTCATTTAAGATGGATTTTTCAGATTATATTTCTGATTTGATACTTTCCTGAATGCATGAACACATCTTGCAGGGAATGGAAGCTTTGGTAGTGGTATAGGCTCTGATCTTTCCAGAGGAGACATGGATCAGCTTCTTGTAGATCCTAGTCGGTATAATTAATCAACTGATCTTTCAAGCTTAATTTTGATTGAAGTACTGAAAGAGCGAATTAGACTAGACTATTTTTCATTTTGCTTTGTATTTTGCGGTTCATGTACTGTTTTTGCTGATTCAACACAGATGCAACATTCCTGAGTTTTAGAGATATCAGTAAAACCAATCTTAGACCTTTCTGACCTTTTCAACTGAAATGGTTCTTTGCATGTTATTCAAGTTTCTTCAAGAAAACTTTGATCATTGTCATCTCCATTCTCTTAAATTAAATTTTCAGTAAAGAGTGGAAATAAAAGAGTAAGTGGGACGCACTCCCTATCTTTTCTCTCTCCAAACTGCATCCTCCCCATTACTTGAGGGCATCAACTCTGAAATATTAAGGGAGAAAATTTTCACAGCTCAACATCACATGATTAGGTAGCTCAAAAAGTTTTGTCATTGTCTTATTTTATTAAAGAACCTGATAACAAACACCTAACTTGTATCTAAGCCTAGTGTGTCTTTAATTTTCTTTCCATGATGGTAACAATCAATGACACCTGCACTTTCTGATTATATGTGCACTGTTACATGTTGCAGGTACCCTGTTAGTTTAGGTGTAAACATGCCAGCGAGGGCAGAATCAACGGTGAGAAGAAGTGACTGTGACGCTCAACTGATTGGAGAACCAACAGGGGAGTTGTATGAAATTATCATCTTTTTTGGTATCATAGACATATTACAGGACTATGATATCAGCAAGAAACTGGAGCATGCTTACAAATCAATGCATTACGATCCAACCTCAATCTCTGCGGTGGATCCGAGGCTATACTCGAAGCGGTTTCGTGATTTCATCTTCAAAGTTTTTGTAGAAGATACAGACTGTGAGAGAGTATAGTTTTGATGGTAGCAATGTTCAATCAAACCAGCAACTTGTGGCCAATCATTAATTATGTACAGAGTCAGTCTATGAAGAGGACAACACAACTAACCAGCAAAATTGGAGGGTGTTTTGTTGATTTTCCCCTCTATCTTCATCATAATTATCATCATTTTCACAGGTTTTAGAGATTCAGTTGAATTATAGTCTCAAACAAATGTATGTTGTAGAAAATAGATCAAATGCCGTTTAGAGGTATTGTTGGAGCAAAGCCTTTCCCAAGTGTAAATCAATGAACAAAAAGGGCGTTAAGTGTAATGACATTGGAAACTATTATATGTTAGTTCAATCCATCCTTCTGTCAGCTTTGTGGGATATCAGTGCTGAATGCAGAGGTACAGGAGATGAATTGAAGAAGGAGGTTGATTAGAAATTTATGTGTAAGTATTTAGATTAATCATATTTTCTCAGGGATGGCTGTCATTCTCAGTTAAATACTTAAATTAGCATATTGTTGCTAACCGTAATTGGGTTGAGTGGAAGAAATTTTGATTTCTTTCAGACAAGGTTGAAAGTGTAAACTGTGAATAGGGCAAAATCATAAAGAAAAAACTATCCTTTTATTAAGCCTGAGGATGATTTGTTGGGATCTTGTTACCTCTTAATTTCCGATAATGCATTGTCTCTTCTTTGTTTATGAACATGGAGAAACATTAAAAGAAAGATAAACTCTTCCTGGCATAAAGAAACAAAGATACAAAGACCTTTTTCCACCCCATGCGTGACTTCTTGTTGTTGTTATTATTATCATTGTTATATCAGTAAGAAAAACTGGGTTGGATTCATTACTAAAAAAATTTATTGTTGATTTTTTTTAATTGTCAGGAAAATTCTTGCATCAGAAAAATCATATTATCATATTTTATATCAGATACCCGCAATCTATATTCCAAGAGAATTCTGATAAAGATAACTGTAACTATGCAAGAAAGCCCCTTGAATTACTGTTTACTAGTTTCAGCATTGATGGCCATAAGTCATGTTACATTAATTTCAATTCTTTTACCTTGGATTTTCATTCCTGACACATTCTACCCTTTAGAGAAAAAAGGACATAGAGATTTTTCTTAAAAGGTACATTTATAAACTATTAATGATGATTTACCCAACGATTCATCAAGCTAATGGTACTTGAATGACGAATCGCAATCCGTATCGGTAATATAATATAGGGAAAATTTCATTAAAAGACCGCAGAAGACAATTAATATCAAAGAGCCCCCAAAACTTTCTGAAACCTCACTGCAGGACCAAGGGACCAATCTGATATTAATTCCACAAACGAAATGACGCCACTGCCCCTCATTTTAGAGTGAGATTACAATAATACCCCTCCCTTTTTATTTTATTAAAAAATAAATATTTACCGGAGGTCAGAGGTCCGGCCACCGGCACTCAGGTGGCCGCCACCGGGGTCCGGTTATCGTTGGCCAGAACAGTAGCTCCGGCAGGACCTCCGGTGGCCGGAGTTTTTTTTGTTTAAAACAAAGTGGCCAAGAGAGGGTTTGAACCCATGACCCCTTGGCACACTAAAAGACTTGTAACCACCAAGCCAAGCAATCCATTCATCATAAAATGCAAATAAAACTATATATAACAAAATAAACACAACAGTCCAAATGTAAGTGAACAAGTGAAATTAGACGATTTACAAGTGGAATTCAGCAATTTGTAACAAAAATTAGGCAATTTACAAATAACATAATAGAAGTCATAACCCCAAATGCAAGTGTTTAAGTGCAAATGAGCAAGTGAAATTTGAATATTTACAATAAAAGTTTATGGATTTACAACCCAAATTTGGTAAACACAAGAGAATTCACAACGCAAAATGTAAGTGTTTAAGTGTAAGTGAACAAGTGAAATTAGACGATTTACAAGTGGAATTCAGTAATTTACAACAAAAATTAGGCAATTTACAAATAATATAATGGAACTCACAATCCCAAATACAAGAGTTTAAGTGTAAATGAGAAAATAAAATTTGAAGATTTACAACAAAAGTTTATAAATTTTACAAGTGAAATTCGACAATTTCACTTGCTCATTTGCACTTAAACACTTGCATTTTGGGTTATGACTTCTATTATGTTATTTGTAAATTGTCTAATTTTTGTTGTAAATTGCTGAATTTCACTTGTAAATCGTCTAATTTCACTTGTTCACTTACATTCAAACACTTACATTTTGGGTTGTGAATTCTCTTGTGTTTACCAAATTTGGATTGTAAATCCATAAACTTTTATTGTAAATCTTCAAATTTTACTTGCTCATTTGCACTTAAACACTTGCATTTTGGGTTATAACTTCTATTATGTTATTTGTAAGTTGCCTAATTTTTGTTGCAAATTGCTGAATTCCACTTGTAAATCGTCTAATTTCGCTTGTTCACTTACACTCAAACACTTGTATTTTGGGTTGTAAATTCTCTTGTGTTTGCCAAATTTGGGTTGTAAATCCATAAACTTTTGTTGTAAATCTTCAAATTTTACTTGCTCATTTGCACTTAAATACTTGCATTTTGGGTTATGACTTCTATTATGTTATTTGTAAATTGCCTAATTTTTGTTACAAATTGCTGAATTTCACTTGTAAATCGTCTAATTTCACTTGTTCACTTACATTTGGACTGTTGCGTTTATTTTGTTATATATAGTTTTATTTGCATTTTATGATTGAATGGGTTGCTTCGCTTGATGGTTACAAGTCTTTTGGTGTGCCAAGGGGTCATGGGTTCAAACCCTCCCTTGGTCACTTTGTTTTAAACAAAAAAAACTCCGGCCACCGGAGGTCCTGCCGGAGCTACTGTTCCGGCCACTGGTGACTGGACCCCGGCGGCAGCCACCTGAGCGTCGGTGGCCGGACCTCCAACCTCCGGTGGCCAGAACAGTAACTCCGGTAAATATTTATTTTTTAATAAAATAAAAAGGGAGGGGTATTATTGTAATCTCACTCTAAATTTTAATTTCAATTTGGTCCCTTGGTCCTGTAGTGAGATTTCAAAAAGTTTTGAGGGCTCTTTGATATTAATTGTCTTCTACGGTCCTTCACTGAAATTTTCCCTATAATATATATATATGTAATATGTGGGAAATTTTAATTTGTATGTCCATATAGTTTCACATGAATTTTAACAAGTTCCCCGTAGTTTTTTTAAAAAAAAAAATCATGTTCTTATATTTTCATTTAATTTTAGTTAGATTCTTATAATTAGGAGAATTCAGTTATATTCAGTTATATTAAGTGCTAAAACATGTAGTTTGATTGAAGTAAAGCTGTTCCCTTCCCTTTCTTTCTTTGTAATGTATACTATGCTTTAACAATTATTAATTTCTGCCATTTTCTATCACTTTTTTATGGTAGATGTATGGGAGTCATTCATTAGCTTTAAGATTACTATTTTCATTCTTTTTTCCTTTTCATTTTAAGAAGCTTAAAAGTTCATTTTGAGACTCAATAAAGTTAATAATCAAAGGGTAAAAGTGATCTAGCACCCTTATTGTATTTTTTTGGTACATCCAATACCTCAATGTTACTCCCTGATCCTTAATATAAGACCCATTTAATTAATTTGATTAGATTAAGAAAGTTAGGTAAGTTAGTTAATTATAAGAAAAGTGACACATTTTTCCTAAAACACCATAATCATCTTTCTTAATACCCCATCTCCCTCTTCTACTTGATTATAGTTGAGGGAGTATCTATAGAAGTAATTTAGAAAAAATTAATAAATATGAGAAATGGGTCTTACATTTAGGACCAAAATCAACTCAAGAATTGAGTCCTATATTAAGGACCAGATGAGTAATATTTTTAGTTGCATCCAATATTCTTTAAGGTGCTGGATGCACTAAATATAAAATAAGAGTACTGGATGAACCAAACAAAAAAAAAAGATCAAGGTGCTGGATATAAAAAAAAAAAAGATCATGCATTATGTAAAATATCAGGGTGTTAGATGTACTTGAAAAATAAAATTAAAGTGCTAAATGCACCTTTAACCTTAATCAAATATTACTATTCATTTCTTCACTCCGATACAACAATGGCAAATATTTTGCAGAGGTCTCTATAGAAAGAATAGTTGTTTCATCAACTTGTGTGACATATAAATTCTCTTTAACTGTATTGGAATTTTATTTCTTTGTCAATCAACTTATATAGGATCTTATGGATCATGGTATTGATATTAGGAAAAATCTTATAAAAATAAGTTTGAAATTACTAAATCTCAAATAAGAAATTCCTATAAAAATGTGTTGTTATTTGCAACTTTAGTATTAACAAAATCTATTAAAGTGTTGTTACCAAATCTAATTTGGAATTTAATAATAGGAGAATGACATAAAAAGAAGTTGGAAATTGCAAATCCCAAATCAGATTTGATAACACAACTTTATTTGATATTAATAAGTCTGAATTTACAAATGTCAACAAATTTTTGTTGACATTCCTTATTTGGCATTTACAAAATTTCAGCTTTTTTTTTTGTCATTGTCTGTTTAGTAATTTCAAACTTCTTTTTGTGAAATTATCCCTTAGTATTATTGGGCTCCTAGAAAATTGTTCAAAGCATGTGCAACTGGCTACATGATATCAATACATGAAAATGATGCCCTTGAAGAACTGACCACATGATATCAATATAAGAGCATGTTTGGGATAGGATAAAAAAACACTTATAAACACGTTTCACATAAGTTAAGACAAAACTACTCTCATATATTTATCTTGTATTCTATAAATAACAATTAAAAAGTTATTTATAAACTATTCCAAGCAGTCTTAAGACTATCAATAAGACAGAGGTAAAAGTAAGCTTCCTCATAGTAGCCTCGATCTGATCTAAACTGCATAATTTTTATCCCCATAATCACACAGTATAATGCTTTGTTTTGAAAGATCAAGAATTACATATTTACCTCATTGAAATATGGTCCAATGCAGAAATAATCATGTGGGGCCTTATCTAACTCTTAATTGGGGATTAATGGTTTCGCTTAATCCACAGTTTAGAAGGATAATTGGTGACATTAAGTAACAAGCATTGTTTTTGTCATCAGGCTCTAGTTTAGGGGGTAAAAATTACTGTGGAGAAACTATCCTTTTATTAAATTCAATAATGCTCATATTTGATCAAATAGTGGCATTTAGTATACCATATGCTGGAGAGTCGACAGTGAGAATGTGTCTAAGAAAAAGAAAGGCAGATTTTTGTCTACTGATGATTATTTGGATGTGTCATCTTTTCTTTTCTTTTTTTTTTTAATAGCATATAGTCTTATCTCTTTGTTTATTACCATGGGGTTTGTGGCTAGAGGAAGACGATGGAAGATTAACCCCTTTGGTTTCTAGAATAGGAGTGAATGAGATAAAAATAAAATAAAAACAAAAAATAATTTCAAGAATGGAAAATTACGGAATTCTTACTTTAAAAATATTAAAAGATATAATTGTGGAATGATTATTATGAAGAAAATCTAAACATTAAAAGAAAGACAAACTCATGACACTTTTTCCCGAGAATAATCAGTTAAAAAACTCATGACATAATGAAACAGAAAAGAATAAAAAAAATCTCACCCCAAAAAAAATTCAAACAATTAAAAATGGACCAAAAAAAATTTTAAAAGCAAAAATATGATGTGAATATATATATTAACCCCAAATCAAACTAACCCGAGAATAATCAGTTAACCATTCATAAATGGTTATTACATAAAAATTTTTTGTCTATCATAGGACATTCACCTAAAAGAAAGACCAAGTCCTCTATTAGAAATGGAGAATTCTGTGAAGAAATGAGATGTATTTTTGAGAATAAAATTCAAGTCAAGTTGCTCATTTAGTTATATTTATTAGGTCAATTTTATTTTATTTTTAAAAAAACTTACAAGTGTGCACGCATGTCAAGAACTAGCAATGACTAAATAACAAATGTTTATATTTTATTGCTAACTTTATAAGTATAGATATGCATTTTAACAACTAACAATAACAGAATAACAAGTGTTTATATGAAAATCTATAAATTCTAATTTATATTATAAGAGGTAATATAATTTTTTTTACAAACATTCATAACAAATGCCTATATACATCTTAACAAGTAACAATAACAAATTAATAAATGTAATTGGAGAATTTAATATAACGAATATAAACAACTTGATTTAAGTTTTGTCCTTCTCTTCAATATTTTTATTCATTTTAGATTTAAATAATAATTCAAACTTTGAATGATTTTTTAATTCGATAAAAATATATATATGAAAATAATAAAAGCCGCATTGTTTATAGCGTATAAGGCAAAGCAATAAAGTTTATCATAGATTCTATATAACACGAGGAGAACGTCTAATTAGATCATTGCAAATTAGATCATTCAAATTCATATGGAGAATAGGTACATCATGTTCTTTATATTTGATATATATAGTTTCTAATCACACATTCACACATAACCATATCTTATTTTTAAAATATTAGCATTTAATAATATTTAATTATGAATCTACATGAAATAAAAAAAACAATATAATCATGTGTGATTGAAAAACTTAACATAATATATATATATATATATATATATAATTTGATCTTATGGTTCTCCTCCTTATGGGTAGAGACCATTTACCATCTCAACCGTTGATTGATCAAATTATCTTTAAATATACAATAAAGCTACTTGAATTACTCGTTGCAAAATGGAACTATAGATCATCATAAAATTACGTCACATTATTTTTATTTTTTTCACCTTTTATTTTTGTTGCCGACAATTTTTTTCACTTCAGAGACAAAAGACAAAGGGAATTTTCTTTCATAAGGTACGTTGATAAAATATTACTCATGGTTTCTTCAATCATTCATCAAGTTTCAAGTCTCTTTTTTTCGCCTTGTACTCTTGTAGTTTCAAGCCAATTCTTCTTCCATATCAGTTATATAATATCGATTTGGCAAGAAATACAATGTATATAATATAAAATAAAGTAATTTGTAGGTCCCTATAATTTTAACTAATTTTTAACCAGATTTTAATCACATTCCTATAGTTTTTTTCCAAAAAAAAATTATACTTTTACTATCAAATCCATGTAATTTGATCCTAAAAAATCAAATTAAAAAAAAACCACAAAAACCTTATTAAAATTCTAATGAAATTTTAGGGACCTAGAAATTATTTTACATACACACACACAAGATTCATTAAACAGGGCGATGCAATTATTACTCTTCTGGTCGCAAGTGTAAGACATATTCTGCAATGTAATTTATATTAGAAAATAGGTCTTTTTTTTTTGTGTCAACACAAAATAAATCTTACATTTATTTAGAATCCGAAAAGTATTATTGACGGGCTTAAGTTGCATTTAGCATATAAACAAATTTTTTATGCATTTGATACATTAAAATATTTTTCACACAACACGTAGTATTATAAAATAATTTTTTATGAAATTATACTCTTAAAATATTTTTCTGAATAGCAATGAACACTGTAAACTTAAAATATTAAGTGGTACTATAACATTAATTTATGAAATTACTTTAAAAATAGTGTAGGTTAAAAAATATTTCAGCATGACTACTCAGCCCTCATTAACGAGATGAATCAACGATACAAGCAGTAAGCAGATGGCTGTGATCTACGATCTAAAATAACTATATATAACGGCCAGCTCTAATGGTAAAAATTATATGGAATACAGGTCATTCAAATTCCCTAATGTAATAAAAAGAAATATAATTTTATACTAAAAAAACCACGTGTAAATATATTATTTAGGAAAATAATTCCAATATTTTAATTTTAATAATAAGTTTAAAATATTTTAATCGTTGGTCAAAATAACAGGATTCAAATTATGAGAAGAGGATTTAGCCATTAGATTCTCTTAATTTCACCATAAAATTAACATCTTGATTTTGTAGAAAATATCATCTGAATAAGCAAGAGGATTTATAATTTATTTCAGGAGGAAAAAAAAAAGGATCTATTTTAAGTCTCATAATCCCCCCTCCCGCAACAAGTCCCACCAAGCATTAGATACAAACATAAATATAAATATTCTGCAGAATTAATGTCCCTATTACAATAAAGGCAATTAAGCTCAGTTTTTTATGCTTTATGAATCCATATATACATCAGAAAATAAATTAGCAATATAGAAGACTACCTAGGGCATAATACTATGGTCAGTTTTCCACCGTCAAAATCTCACATTGGGCTAATCTGCAAACAAAAATTATACTTAGAATAAGTCAACCATCTACATAGGAATATTCCCATGAAAAAAGGGGCAAGAAAATCCCAACTATGATTAAATCAAAATACAAGCACTAAATTCACCCAAAAAAAATCAGAATTTTGAAACTAAGAAATTCAGAAAATAAACATTAATATTATGACAAGTCATACTATTTACAACTCATAAATAATACAACTTATTCTCTAGTCTCTATATAATCACAAAAGCCACCGACATAGTTTGACAAAAGATTTTATCATGAATCCAGCTATTGTAAATAAGAAAATATACATTATTTGTCTTTAACTTTTTCTTTTTATTTCTAATAAATTTGAGCAACTGAATATTATCACTTTCCCATAATTGCCTATAGTGATCTAAGTTCTAAGATAAACTTCCCTTCACATCCTTAAACCACCGAGAACCCAAGAGTCTTTCACTCTGTTCTCTTTTTCTGTTCAGATATCTCACTATCATAACAACCGGAAACTTGGTTGCTTCACTAAGTAACCATATCGTGCCATGGTCTAGTCTTTAATAATTTGATTTCTGACATGGGAGGCTCAACAGATTGGTATTGTCTTAAGTGAAATCTTATCAGGCAAAAAAATGAAAGACAAGATTATGGCAGGTGAGAATAACTGGCAGGCAAGGACTATAGAAGGCAAAATGGGGCACTACACAGATAAGACATTATGGTGTCTTTTCCATCCTCAAGGTTTATGTTAAGTCAAACTTGTAGCAAATGGCGTGAGACTGAATTTCACATCATATTAGTAACACAACAAAAATATGGTTTCCTGTGTGAGCAATCTAAGTATGGGCACTGATATTGACACAACACAAAGCTGGGTCCATCAATACAAGAAGATCTAAAATGTTTGATGTTGGATACAAATTCAACTTCTTTCAAGTAGTCATGTCAAGTCAAAAACAAATAAATATCATGCAAGCCTCTACTCTACAGAAGGGGAAAGAAAGAACTCTAATAGTTATCCAAGTCTTAATTATAAAACTCAAATTATCCTAACATAACCCAGTAAAGAAGAAAGAAAGTAGATGTTTGCCAATTAAAAAGGGGGGGAGATGAGAAATGCAGAAAAAGCAATGTCCTAAAGCAGTTGATAAGCAAAGCATGAATTATTGCCAAGTGAGATGCACGAATGCAACTTAAATCACAACATGGTAGTGGAAATATAACTAACACCCTAATGAACATTAAAAAGAGATGATCAAATGCTTTTTTCATTATTGTCCTTTGATTGACAATCACATTACCAAGGTAATTCTTATTCCTCACCTCTAAGGTATGGACTAATTGAAGAAAAACAAAAGAAAAGAAAAAGATGTGTCTATACTAGACACAGATTAGACACTTACACAAGACACAATATAATACTTGTATGGATATCTACGTCATGTCTTGTGCAATCCAAATTTATGAAAGAAACAGATGCATGAAATGAAGGGACTGTTGTTTTTACCCTGCCTTGGCAGATGCAGTCATAAAGCCCGGTATATATTAGAACTAAACTGGCAAGTGTTATTGTGCTTTATTTTCCTCCTTTCACTTTTCATCTTTTCTTTTCTTTTTTTCTTTTCCCTTTTCTTTCTCCTTTGATTAGTTCACCGCCACTATCTCAAAAAAGTGACCAAAAAGCTACCGTCTTGCATATTTTGCACGGTAAAAGCACGTAAAAACAAGATTTTCTAATCTTTTGCCAGCAAATGGACAGCTAGGTAGATTGTCACACCACTTAACAAAAATATAAACAGGAAAAAAAAATCAGAGAGCCCAGGAATCAACATGTTAAATTAGTATTACTGTTGCATAACTCTTCATACTAGTGATGAGATGAATTATTTTAACAATATTCTAAAAGGGATTGAGAAGGCTGATTTGAAATTTGAACCAATCCTGGTCCATAAAAGTAAATGTACCTTCCTCAACAGCCAGAAGCAGGGTAGGCATTATTAGTTGGAACCCCAATTGGAGAAGAACATTCCCTATTCTTTTCACTGCTATAATTTCCCAGTTGAAGTTCCGAAACATATGGGATTGGGCTCTTCCCATCAGCACCTTGATCATACAGAAACCCCTTGAAAACATGACCACTGATATGAACTGTGGCCATGTACGCAAACTCATCTTCGCCATTACCAATAGCCGACACCCTGTGGCACCTGAAAACCGCAGGGGCACGGACATGACCTGGTAAAGACTGTTTGAAGCTAGCATCTGCAATTCAAAGAGAACACATTCAAAGTCCTAATCGTACCACACAGCCATGAATCATCAATAAATTGAAAATAAAGTTGAATCTGACACTCATTAGATATAACTAGGCGGAATAAATATTGTGTACAGGTGTCCCATATCCATATATCTTGCCTTCCAATTAGTCTTTGAAACACTGACATTCGAAAACAGAACTGTAAATTGGTTTAGACCTGAGAAGCATGATTATTACGCCACAGATGTTATTGCATCAGTGACAATATCCACGTGTCTCTTTTTCATATGAGTATCCTCCTGAGGAATAGTTTCTGGAAAACTGATACCATTCAAATTTAAAAATACAGAACAACACGATACCCGATATTAAGCTTCAAATCGTGGTAGAGTACTACATGAGAGAAATAGAGGGAGAGAGACTAGGGACCTTGGTGACGAGAGCTTGTATCTAAGCTTCTTGGCGTAGTAGCGTTGGAGGCAGAACTATGAGAAGTGGTAGCAGCATTCTGCGACGACCCGAACGCTCTAGGCCTCTTAGAACCGGGAGGCGACCCAGAAGCACCACCACTTCCGCCTGCGGCAGCAAGAACGGTCATCTGGCGTTCACGGCGGCGAGCGGCGGGGACCCACGTGCTCTTGATGTGAGTGCTGCAATCGTACCCACGTCCCTTACAACAAGTCCTGCATCGTCTATACCCACAATCTTTCTTGGCGCGATTCCCACAATCCTGACAGACCCTAAAATCACCCCCAAAAATCCCATTCTCTTCACCTTCCACATCGATCACTCCTTTCTTAGCAGAGTTCGCAACTTCCGGACACATCTTGAGGTTCCAGAAATTGGAGTTGTTGGCAGTATTCTGATGATTGTGATCGGCGGAATCATGAGGGAGGTCATTGGGGACGCAAGGAGTGGCAGTTAGGAGAGGGAAAATTCCGAGACCGACGCTGAGAGAAGCAGAAGAAGGAAGAGGATGAAGGTTCGAATGGTCCTGTTGTGGTTGCTGTTGTTGCTGCTGCTGGTGGTGCTGGTGGTGAAGAGAAGAAGGATTTGGAGCTATGAGAAGTAGGTCTCGCAGGCCTAACATGCTCATTTGAAATCGCAGTGCAGTAACAGAGAGAGAGAAAGAGAGCTCTGAGAGATTTTATGGGTTTAGGTTGATTGATTCTTTGTCCTGTTAAGCCCTGCGTTGTCGTCGAGTATGGAGGTTATATAGACAGAGAGAGCAGCACAGAGAAGATACTATTCGTATTTCAAACGTTGAATTTTGTAAGTGATCAATATTTAAGTATTTATACTGATAAATACTACTATGATATTTCCTTCTTACTAAATCTAGAAACTTAATAACTATTTTTTTTAAATATTATTCCTCATGTTCTTAATATAAAATTTAATTATTGAGTTAATTTTAATACTAAATGTAATACATATTTTTTACATTTATTGATTTTTTAAAATTATTTTTATAAATACTCTATCAACCATAATCAAGTAGGAAATGAGACTATTAAAGAAAATGATTATAGTATTTTTAAAAAATATCTCATATTTCTTATAATTAGTTAACTTACTTAATTTTTTAATCTAATCAAATCAGTTAAATAAGTTTTACATTAAGAATCAAAAACCTTTTTAACATATTCAATTAAAAAATGAGATAAAAGAAATTATAAATTTAAGAAACGAAACGAACTAAGATTTTGAATTTAGCACTGAAACAAATATTCTTTACCAAAAAAAAAAGAACTAAAACAAATATTTCAGTATATTTTGTTTTAGAATTTTTTTTAAAAGGATGGTTGGAAATTTGTTTTAGAAATTTCACTTTGGAAGTTCAGGTTGGATACAAATTTATCCTAAAAACTAAAAATCACAACAATCCTGCTCCTTATCATTAAAAATGTTATCAACCAATAATATTATTTTAATACTTAACATTAATTTTTTAAGGTTAATAAACCATATTGCTATTTCATTGTAAATTTACACCCAAAAATACTTTTAGATGCCCAGTACTTTTAAAGCAAAGCTTTCAAAAACAAATTTACATCTTTAACTCTTTTTTGAACCAAATCCTTCCATCCCAACTCCCAACAGAGAATATTAATTTGAATTACCAAACATGCCTTGGTGGTATAAGCCGTAGCGGCTAACATATGATGTTTGGGATTTGAGTTTACATGAATATATAAAATCTCTTTTAAATACATTAAAAAAAATCCTCTTTGAAAAAGCCCTCTCCCATTGACAGTATTCCGCACAATAACATATAATTATATTTAAAAAATTAATTTGAATTAATTTTCGTTGAATAAATCTCAAAAAATTATTATATTCTTCTCGTCCTAAATTTTAGCATTGTAATATATTTTTTAAAACATATATTACAAAAATAATGATATCAATTACTACTATTAAATAATCAAAATATAGGCTTCTATATTCTCTTTTAGTATACAATTAATACAGAATTAGACATGTTTCCTTACTTATGAATAATTTATTGACGTTGAGCGTTGAATTAAAGAATAGTCCCTCAGTCCCCTTATGTCAAAAGTTGGCACGTGAAATTTGTCGTGTTTCAGGGAAAAAAATAAAAAAGAATAAGAATTCTTTTCTCTCCTTTAACGAAAAATTACAAAAAAGATATTATAAATAAAAATATTATAAATAAGGACATTACCATATTAGCATCAGTTTTGATAATAATTGATAAGCAAAATAACAAATGACAGTTTATGTAAACGGGTCCCTCTCTATAATTTTTTTAATTTCTAAAGTCTTTTTTTAATGATTTTCTCTACTTTTTTTTTTTTTAACTATTCTTGAATCTGAATAGGCTCCAAGGTCAAAAAAACAATCTGAATAGGCAACATCAAATAGTTGGAAATTTGTAATAAATATTTATTTTATATTAATATCAATGATAAATTATTACTATCATTTTGAAATTATCAGAGAGAGACGGAACTAACGAAAGATTTTAAATAGACAAAGAAGATAATCCGTCAGAGCCATCATGGACAGTGTACTATAAAAATGTAAACAGAGAAGCCGGGGATGATTCCTTTTTCTTTTCTTTTCCTTTTTTCCCCTCGATGCAAAGCAAGGGATGATTCTCCCACCATCAGGCACAAATATTAATAGGGTTCAGGCATTTGCAATATTTAATACTTCCTCTGGTTTTTAATATAAAATTTTATTTACTTTTTATTTTAATCTTCAATATAAGATTATAATCCACTTCGTCTCTCATGTTTATGTATTTTTTCCTAATAAAATTCTTCTAACAATGATAGTTCTAACCAATATACTTGATAGCAATGATATTTTAGGAAAGACAACATATATTTATTACAAATAACTAACTTAACTTCTTTCCTTAAATTTCTCAAATTAGTTAACTATCTCTTATAATTAGGACGTGAGGTAGTACTTTCTTTGATCCTTATTTTTTATATGGGAGTTATATTTTTTAAAAAAATATTTTTGCTAATTAAGTTTTCTTTATGCAAATTTACTTCAAAACTTTAAAATTATACTACCTTCAATTTTAATTATAAGAGCTTATTTATTTATAATAAATAAATATCATCTTTCTTAAAATATCTTGGAAAAATCCCAAAAAATGTCCTTAGAATATGAGAAATGCCAGATTGAGTCCTTAAATTTCGAAAAAGACAGAATGGGTCATTGACCCAATCTGTCATTTGTGAAATTCAGACGAATTGACAATTTTGTCCTCATTTATTCATTCATTACAATGATTCAAGAAATCACTATAAGAGTTTAGGTGTTACCTAGATTCGTGTAGCGAATAACTACTCACTTTTTCATAGTCAAGTATCTTGTTATTAACTACAACTAATTCTGTAATCACTAGAACAATGTAAGCATTACATAGATTTGTGTAGAGAATAACTACTCATTTTTTCATAGTCAGGTATCTTATTATTGTCAGGTACCTTATTATTAACTACAATGAATCTTGTAATCACTAGAACAGTATAAGCGTTACCTAGATTTGTTTAGAGAATAACTACTCACTTTTGCTTATGGGCAAAATTGTCGATTCGCCTGAATTTCACAAATGACAGATTGGGTCAATAACCCATTCTGTCATTTTCGAAATTTAAAGACCCAATCTGGGATTTGGTATATTCCAAGGGCTTTTTCTGGGATTTTCCCAAATATCTTTGCTAATTAAGTTTTCTTTATGCAAAATTACTTCAAAACTTTAAAATCATACTACATCCAGTTTTAATTGTAAGACCTTATTTATAGTTTACAAATAAGATCTTATAATCAAGATTAAAGGTGGTAGTAATTTTGTCCCCACCATCAAACTAACATTAATCGTTAATATTTTTAACAGTATAAAAAAATTATTATGAATTTAAAATTTTATGACAAATTTACACCTTAAAGTCCCAAGCGCCTAACACTCCCAAGTGAAAATTTCTAGAGCATTTGTGCATTTTATTTTATTTTATTTTATTGACCAAAGAGCATATGCCCAGTTTAACCCTTAATAATGGGAAGAACCTATGATGAGCAAACAAATAAAAGGGTTAATTTTGATACAAGTAAAGTATTTTTTTTAAAGTATATGTAACACTTTAAAATATTTTATGATGTAATTTTGTTTTTAAAAAATATTTTTAATATTTAGAACCAATTTTTTTCAAAAACAAATTTGGGGGTGTTTGGGTAAATGTAAAAGTGCTTTTCAAAAACATTTTTCAACAAATCGAGATAAACTCCTTTACATATTTGTTCCCTATACCGTAAAAGTATTTTTAAAACCAAGGTTTTATTTCCATCCAAACACTCTTAATCTTGTTATTATCTTCCAAAATGTCTATTATGTGAAAGTGCAGCAGTTTAAAATATTTTTTTAGTAAAACTCAACTTCCTCATAGTACTTTATGGTGTTAGATAAAGCTTAATCTTCAATAGTAAGAATTAAATCTTAAGGGACTACCAGTAATTAATTTATTTATCCAAGACTTGTCTATAATTTTCCCTTTATAGTTAACGGCTTGAGAAGAGAAAGATTCCTAGGGAGAAAGGAAGATTTTGATGTGCATTCACATTGGTGACTGCATTCTTCTGCTCCAGGCTCTGAGCGCTGTGAATCTGCTGCTTCTTCTGTTTTTTCCTTTCTGCTCTGCGCTGCTAAAATTTATCAGATTTCTGACACGTAAGTTCATTCTCAGATTGTTGTTTTCCCTGACACACACATAATTAAAACCCCCTCATTACTTCTCTCTCAATTCTCTGATTTCTCTCTTTTATCCATGGACCATGGTATCTTCCCAACCAGGAATCTTTCTTCCATGTAATTTTTAATATTTACAAAATTCCTTCACTCATTTTCTTTTATTATGCTTTCCCGGTTCCTAATATAAAATATATTTAACTAATTTGATTAGATTAAGAAAATTAGATAGTTAGTTAGTTATAAAAAATATGACATGTTTTTCCTAAAACACTGTAATTATCTTTCTTAATATCTTCTCTCTCTCTTCTACTTGATTATAGTTGAAGGAAATTTATAGGGATAATTTAGAGAAAATTGATAAATATGAGAAATAGGTGTTATATTTAAGATCAAAATCAACTCAATAATTAAGTCTTGTATTAAAGACTAAAGGAGTATATAAAAATATAATTGCATGTTTCTTTTCTATCTCTAGTTTCATAGGGTTGGGTTCCAAAAATTAGTTTTTACTGGACAAAATTGCTTTTTGTTGCTTATGAATTCCCTAAACTTGGGCTTTATATTTTTTATGATTTATTACCATAATTATATATTATTCATTAAATATGTCTAATTATATATCACACCCATATATTATTATTAGTGTTTACTACATTACAGATATAGATATCAAAATGTACATTAGTACTGTCATATTGTTATTATTTATCAAAATTTGGGTTTTGTTATAAAAATGTTTGTTTTGATAAAATTGCTTATTTTTCTTTTATATAAAGAATTATTTTTTCCAGAAAAATTTTATATAAAGAAATCAGAATTTAGAATTAAGTTGGGGAAATTATTATATGATTTCAAAAAAAAAATATAATTACTAAAAAATCCTGTAACGAGTAAATAATAAGTTCCACTATATAAAAAAAAAAGAAGAAGATCCATGCTGACTTTTTGTTACTGACTCC